CCCCCTCTTCCTCCTCCTCTTCCTCTGCCGGCTTGGGGCGAACGTGGGCGATTAACAGAAACTGCTGGTAAGGCACTTGCGGATGGCGGAAATGACATATCCTCTGACTCCTGTTGAGCATCTGCTTCGTGATATGTTCCCTCAAGAGCAGTAGGAACAGTGACAGAGTCAGGTTGGCCTGAATTTCTGATAGCTAATGCGCCATCAGGGATTGCTGCTGCTCGCCCGAGGTTGCCAGAGGCCAGGAGAGCCAGACCACTGCCACCGATCAGAACCTTTTTAAGAGAAATGCCAGATCTCACTACTCTTGGCTGTTCATCATGATGACTGTAAGAGGGCATTATTGATGTAGGTTGTAGTACTTCCCTTGCGGAAAGCAAGAATGGCCCGTTTCTTTCTTGAGAGTTGATCTTGGTTACACCTTTGGTCTTGTGTTAATTGCTAAGAGAAGAGAATTAAGAAGGGCCGAGAGGGTGAGAGTCGTGGGTGATTGATCTTAGATATGTACATATATGTCTCAACCTACACATCTTTTTTAAGATGATCAAATCAAGAGGTCATACTACCAGGGTGCATCTAGACTGTAGATCGATGTGAAGGGTACGCCATATCCTTCTACTATGATGTACACACATCACAGGCTGAAGATTTAACGCATAATTACATCATCCATAAGTTATTGTATAGACCGCAAACGGAATTTTCACAATGATTACTTGGCTTGATAATGCTATAGACTTGCCTAGAACAACTAGAGTATGACTTACTCTGCCAATAATATTTGACCCACACTTCATAATGAGTGAACTAACGAATCACGTTTGACGCACTTTTAATAACCTTTTTAATACTATGTATAACTAAACTCTAATAACAAGCAGCTGTTATGACATCAACATAGCTGCACTAGTGCAGTGCAGGTATGACAGGCAGAAACAAAGGAATTAATGATCAGTAATCAATCCCAGAGTGGTTACTGAGAGCGCTAGGAAAATGCTTGATCTTAATGGGACTCCACATGAAAATAGTTTAGTAGCACACCACTCCATCACGTGACCACTCCGCGGAAAAACTGAACATCGCCAATACATAGAGTATCGCATCTACTCTATGATCCATACTTCGTCAATACTCCAGGAGTAGCAACAGGAGTCGCGAGGGAATCGCGACTGAGGAACTATATGGGCATTCCTTATCATTGTATCTAGTACACTTTTGGTTTAGTTCCTTGCGGTTTAATATAAGTTATTCACTTGAGTACAAGATCACTAATAGATCCGCCAATAACTCTTTCACTATTGACTATAAGTACTCAATAGGCCTTACTTCTATCCCTACTGTTGTTTGTTCATGTGTTCTGTTGGAACTTACTTGATC